GCCGCAGTGCATGCTGGGACAGCTGTCAATCAATATTGAGAAAAAACAGCCTGTCCGTAAAACGGTGAATAATGAATGAACGTTTTCGTCGCTCACGTTTCAACGAAAACCCCAAGTCTAATCTTTCCAAAACTTATTCCAAAGCTGAGTCAAACAAGAACTGTTCAATAGTTGTTGCCATCTTCCTTGTGCTTTCTCCAGCTTCTTGCAGCTTTGTTGCCACGCCCTCAAAACCCCACCCGCTTTGCATCCAAAAAATTCAATTCAGTTCTAGAACCTGGTGCATTGACCAAGGCTAGACCATTTGCAGGCAAAAACGATTTTGGCCGCTGGTGGGTGGGGCTAGTTTACTAGGTTAGACATGGAGAATAAGTACCTACCTTGGTAATTATAATCTACAGTCTTCAGGTTTCATATTGCTTTTAGCAGAATTGAAATATCAACTATTAATTCATATGATAGAATGTATGAGAAAGCATTAGCATATTTATTTTCTTTCCTCATCATTAGGCCTTATTTTCAACCTCTAGTCTGACTTTTCATTGCCTATTACGTAGTACTTTTTAAAAAAAATTAAATATGGCACCAAACACAGCATACTTTACCTTGTAAAATCTTTTAAATATTTTCTAGATAAATTTGTCAAACACAAATCAGGCTTCTTGAGTAGATCCTCCTACCCCAGTGCCCCATTAACAGTTTTTTTTGTGTAAATATAAAGAAACACCACATTTGGCCTAGAATTAGCATTTTTTTTTACTGATGTGGCAAACACATACCAACTGTGACTTAAAACTGAGGTACATCTTGAACCATGACCTATCTATACGCTCCAGCTCTACTGTAACACTGATCTCAGATGTTGTGCAAACATTTCCCAAGGTCGAAAATAAACTGTCCACATGACTTTATATATAATATAGTATCTGTTCTCCCAAATAGAATCTATCATGGGGAACATGATATAACTCTTCTAACACAGACCATAAGACCAATGACTGTGTACCGAAGCTCATCTGTGATGATTTAAAATACTATTTACTGGAGCCCTCAGAAACATAGTTACGGGAAAGCTCCATCTTGAGGAATCTACATTTATCTACACAGCATATGAATGTTTTCAGGGAATCAAAAATGTTTGTCAGATAGGTTACTAATCATTAGAAGTATAAACATGTGGATATTTAACATTTAAAACTTCATGGTCGTGACAATGTGTTGAAATATGGAGGAACCCTATCTTACTGCTGTCTACCGACACCAATTCATGTTTTGAGGATTAGTATTAATAAACTTGAAGTGTGAAAACAGATGAAGTTATATAAACTTTTTAAATAGGTTGTGATCCTGGGTAGGAAAAAAGAAATCCTCTTGTGCATGAACCTTTTCTGATGTGAACTCAATTGAGTCAACCTCAGTTTTCGTCAAAAGAAAGAAAACTGCTGAAAGGGGAACTGAAGGAAATATTTATGTGTAGATATACTTTTACAGGATTTCTGTTTGACCTATCAATGATTTATACTCCATTTAAAGTCCCACTGTCACAGTTGTTCTATGAACCATCTCTCATAGAATAAGAGCTTTGTAATCCAATTCAAAAAAGGCTTCCAAGCCATAAAAGACATAAAAACATTTTTTCCCACAAGCCTAAAAATATTTATAGCATTCTGATGTTTTTCCAATGGATTTATAGAAAAAGTCTGAATCTAGAGTCGGAATTTCAGGATCCTTTCTAAATTGTTTGAGTACTGCAGGCATGCTAAAAATGCCAGGGGATGTTCTGTAAAACCCCACACTTATTTATATTGGATGTGAAATTATTTATTGTGATTATTTATGTGATTTAATGAGGAACATTGGGTGAAACTCGTAATCTAAGAGAGTGAAGTCAAAGGATGATTTCATTCGGTACCCATGTGCTGAATGTCCAAACCTCAGTACCTGACTTGGAGGCCGATTAAGGTGTTTTCAGTGTATTGATATCCTTCCCTTCCCTGAACTTTGCTCCTGATGCTCTGTGAGAAAAAGCCTCAGTAAAACATGTGGCTGTGATTTGCTCAGCTAATTAAAAAAGAAAAAAATGACAGCTTGTTTTGCTCTTCCTGGTTTCCAAAACAGAAAAGAGACAGAATGATCCAGCTGTTGTCAGGATTTTTCTTAGCAGTCCTACTAACGTGAAAATTTCATTTTATTTTTACATAGAGGTTTGAAAACTGCTTGTTTTCTAAAAATATTTGTGCCACTGAAAGGCCTTTATGGACAGTTTGGAGTAAGAAAAAAAAATACAGTGTGTGTGTGTGTGTGTTTGGGGGGGGGGGGGGGGGGGGGGGGTGTTGGGCTGGATTAAAAAGAGTTTTGAGCAGAGTTGTCAATAGTATTAAGATTTATAACTCAAGCTGAAGTATAATTCCTACTGTTTAAAAATACGTTTGTAGAAGTTAGAGTATCAATTTAAGATTTGTACCTAAGTAAAATTGAAAAACTACAATTTTTAAAACTACTTTAAGTATAACAGTAAAAGTAATGCAAAAAGAAATGTTAAGGACAGACAGGAACATTTTTCTACAATTCTTGATGATTACTTCCTTATAATTAAGTTTCTTTGTTTTATGACTACTGGTAACAGTGTCAAATTTAACTTTACATTATCTTGAAGAACTATTTATTTTGGTATGTGGTGAATAACAAGTTGGTGCAGAGTCCAACCTTTTTAAAATGTAAGGAGAAGAAAGTAGATAATTCCAAAACAATGCAAAGAGTAGAAGTAAAAAGTTGTCTAAAAAATAAACACTTTTTTGGCTATCTATACTTTACTCCAGTGAAGTATAGATAACCAAAATTTCTACTTAAGTAGGTGAAAATATCGCATTAAGTATTACCGCAGTATTTGTACTTTGTTACTTGACACCTCTGGTTTTGAGGTTTAAAGTTGATGGCAGTATGTGGACAAGCTATCTCACTAACACATCTCACAGCATCTCCTCTGTGGTTTTAATCACTGACAGAAGTTCAGTGCTTTATACGTTTCAGTGTTTTTTCCTGGGGGATATGTTGTCTTTGGTCTTTTATGAAAAACAGACAAATTGTTCTCTATCTGATAAAGCAGCAAAAACTGCATCAAACTGACAAATTTCACAAGCCTTTCAGACTGCACTCGATTCACTAACATGGTGTTTTTTGGCGATAACTTCCTTACATGAACTCCAATTCATGTAAGGAAGTTATTTTTGCTAGCATTAAATTTAAAGAAATTATTGTAAAAAACGATCATGTGAATTTTTTATGTGATGTAATCTGTTTTTTTTTTTGCCATACATTGAACTGATGAATTGACCTTCCAAACCTTTCTTCCACTGACATGTGGGCATAGGCTCCTTTTGTGACCCTTTCATGATGCAGCAGATACAGCTGACAGATAGATATCCCTAATAACTGCTTTAAAGCTACAGTGTGTAATTTTCAGCGACATCTAGCGGTCAGACTGCAGCAACATGAACATCTCCCCCCCACCGCTTCTCCCACCCAACAGTACGGCGAGCGTAACGGGACAAAATGTCTTCCACGACGTCCGCATCACCTACCTTCTCAATTGATGAGGTTTGTTTACATAGATAATTTTACAGATAGTATTTCATTAGTCTGTGTGTTCAGTTCCGTCTCAGTTAATCTCTCTCAACTTGCCGTAGTTACTTTCGAGCGTAATGGGCGATCTCGCAATCGCTAGTTTGTTGGCTCTGCGCTGCCGTAGCGCAAAGATGTCTGCCTCCATGGCTGCGAGACCCGCTCCTATGTAATTATAAATAACGAATTCTAAGGCAACGCAAATATTAAGGTTAAAAGGCTGAGCTCGTAGATGATGATAAATAACATAGTTATGTATAATATATTACATTTCTGACCGTATATCCCTGTAATTATTACACACTGTAGCTTTAAAATATGAGCAAACAACCAAACATTCACGTCAGCGTAATTTCACCAACCTCCTGTCAGCGTTAGGGCCCTAATCATAAATAAAACATGGTCATCTATATTATAGTCACCTTGTTAGTTAGGAAGTTTAAGCAACACTAGGCTGTTTTAAACCAAAGGAATTCCCAAATTTTAAAGACTGAATTGGAGTAAAATCCAGACCTCAGTAAAACTTTCAATTGTGCTAATTTGCCTTAATAACCAAAAAGGGAAACTGCTCATTAGAGGCTCTCATATTCCAGTTTCCTTCAGTGACCTACGGTCATATTTGGGAACCAGGAAATCTGGTTAAATGAAAGTAATTTATCAGATTAAAGCTATATCTGAAGTTGTATTTAGTAATTAAAAAAACATAAAATGGATTCCCCCTACTGGTAATGATAATAATAAAAAACAAACTGTGTTGAAATGTTTCTACAATTCTGCTCTCAGGAACATTCAGTCAGTGTAATTAAAGATAAACATCTGAAACAGATAATGCACTATAATTATGAGGTTATTGAACAGCGTGTTCTTTGAAATTGGAGTTAGCCACATGTTAATATCTGGGTACAACTCTTCGCTCCAACATCTACACACACAGTAAAACAAAGCTTCCTATTTTCACTAAGCTCCGTTGTCTTGAACCCAAATATGTCCTCGGTCCGATTCAAGTTGTAAATATTTACTGACCTATTTCCTGACTTTGGCTGCTTCCAAATCTTCAGACTATTGAGAAAAACCCAGCACAAATGTTTTTTTTCTTTTTTCCGAAGCAGAGCTGTCTGCAAAACTAGTAAAAATAACTTGGAAGTCGTAAAATTGAAAGACTGTGACAGGTTTACAGATGAACGATTAGTTCCTTATATCCATATAAAAAGTCAGTGTTGGCATAAACGGCTGAAATGGAGGTTAAGTTGCATAACAATAGATGCCTACGTTCAGGATGAAATGGAAAAAAGACGTGCACAGATTCAAACAGAATGGGATGTGATGGTTTGGAGCACCAAGAACAAAAACATTAGAGCAGAAGAAGAAGAATCAAGGACCTTTCATTGATCAGCTCCCTCTTTTCCAGCTGACTCTTCTCCAGGGCTTTCCTCAATTGTGTCACTTCCTCCACAGCCGCACGCCACTTCTGGTTTAGTTGTTCCTCTCTGTGCTCCCATGACAACAGCTGCTGCTCCATGGCATCACACCTTTGTTGACATAACAACCACTTCTCATTTTTCTCCCCCAGTTCCACTGTTAATCTGTTGATAAAGACACAAAGGCCGAGGGTTGCACAAACATGTCTGTATCACAATATTCTGTGAGGAAGTGCCCTTTTCATCTGTATTTAAATAGGACGTGTTGATGCGTGTTCTGAACAACCACCCATGCATGCACACCTGCAGGTGCACCTTAAATCTGCACCGACAGGTCATCAGGTAACTGATTAAAGCCAGCTTTGTGACGTCAGGGTAAAACCATCCTGTTTCTAAAACCAGATTTCATTTCTTAAAACTATAATCACAGAAAAACTGGGTCAACTCATAGTCATAAAGTAGGATACTAACATTTTTGTTTCAGAGTAAAATTCTAAGTTCTATTTCTACAAATGGCTTGACTGTAAAGATTTGTTGAAATATTTGATAATATTATTTACAGTTTCAATTCAGTTTTTATTATCTAGTGCCATATACTACTTTAATGATGTGCTAACCTGCATTAAATGAATGACTCGTTTATGTCATGACTCCTGTTTCTAGGTTTGTAAATTTGATAGTAATAATTATTCTACCATGAATCTCTCCCTTGTTTGTCTATTTACTAACCAGGTTCTTCCAGACTTTTTTAAAATCCTCGTGTTGCCAGTCCGTCATGAGCTGCATTCTGCTCTCTATGTGTTCTCCTGAGGGTCATTACATTACAACATTTCTTTAACTTTATTTCTTTTTTACAGCCAAACATCCACTTCAAGACAAATTTGCCAGCCTCATGTCAGCGTTAGGGCCCTGATCATCTATAAAACAACATAGTAATCTGTGTTATATTTTTCCAGGAAGTTAGTACTAAAGTAACCTTGCTAGTTAGAAAGTTTCAGAAACACTAGACTGCTTTAAACCAAGGGAATTCCCTAATTTTAAGTGAAGTGAACTGGAGAAAATTCCTGACTTTAATAAAACTTTCAATGGTGCTAATCTTCATATTCCAGGATCCTTCAGTGACCTACAGTCATATTTGATAACCATGAAATCTGTTTAAATGAAGGTTTATCAGATTAAAGAGGCATCAAAAAATAACCTTAAAGAAGATATTAAATATGCTTTCACTTGAGCACAAATTGGTTTTAAATTGTATTTAGTTTTCTGTTTTGATTTAATAATCCACTCTTAAATTTTATGTTTTTTATTAAAATTAGGAAAAATGTCAATAAGCTCAGCAAAGGCCTGGAAAAATAAGTCTATGTGGCTAATATATATTTATTTTGTTTTAACTAGATTATTAAACTGAGCTTTTCCAACATTTCCTTGTCCAACTAATTGAATAAGTCTGTATATGGTTATTACATACAGTAGCTGTGTTAACAATTTTTGCAGCAGTCTTTGTTTCAGCAGATCTGCAGCGGATGCTGATGAAGAGTCTGTGTTTGAATTCCTGTGCTGTGAAGAATGTTATCTTTCAAAATGAGTAATGCAAGAACTTATTTTATTTTAGGTAACCGTGGCTCCTCAAAGCTACACCTGATGTCATAACTTTGCATAAAGAGGGCTCCACAGACAGGAATATAACTTCCTAAATCAGCGAACTGTTTGTTGAATATTGCATGACTTGAGAATGAGAAGTTCAACTGCTGTGGGGAAAATTTCCACATGTCCAAGAAAGCTAAACATGTCCCCAGGAGACATATCAGCACAGAGCTGGGGTTAAACCAGTGCAGTTTGCTCAAGATTGGTAGCAGTTAGATGTGGGTGTTTCTACAGAAAGAGTAAAGTGAAGACGTTTAGATTAATGTCAAGAAGGGGATCAAAGAGGCCTCTTCTCTGCAATAAAAACATCAAGGACAGGCTGACATTCTGCAAGAACCGCAAGATTGGAGTGCAGGGAACTGGAGAGAAGTGGTATATCCTCAGACTAAGACCCCTTCAGACAGAAAATGTAACTATGAAGCGGCGAGTTTGTTCAGAACATTGTGTCAGTCTCAAAACTTTTGATCATTTGAATCATCCCTGGCATTATAACAAAGTTAAAAGGTTTTTAACTGAGTTTTATTTCATTGTTTGTTGTTGTTGCTGTTGCCCATGTAGTAATGATGTCATATTCATATTATGTAGATGACTAATTAGCAAAGGATTCGTGTTTGAGGAATGTGTAAAGGCATTTTTTTCATAATCTCTCTCTGCAAACAATGATACATATTTGAATACTTCCATTTTGATGAATTGCAGAATAAAAATGAATAGATTTGGAAGCTTGACTGGTTTTATTCTGTGTTCAGACACCTACGGTCACCAGTCTTAGCAAATTGAGCAACTGTTATTTTCACATCCTAAAAGTCTCCTGCTTTCTGAAATGGCATCCACCCCCATTGCTATTATATGTGGAGCTGTATAGAAGCCAGGGGGTTACATCAGACTGCTGTGTGGGATGGGAAATAAATTGACAGTGTAATTGAACTCACCAAGCTGCCAGTGGTCTAGAAAGGGAATGCCAGCAAATAGTGTGTGAAAAAATACACGCCCAGCATACATCTAACGCCTTCATGGAAAAGATGAGAGGCCCCTGGGCTCATATACTGTATATATCTGTCTGTGGGCGCACACATGTGGATTGGGTGTGCATGACACACATGTGGCTGCCTGAGAATCACTGCGATGTTTCTCTAATCAAAGTGTATCTACAGCTATGTACAAGCTTCTGGGCAATGACGAGAGTATGTGAGAAACACGACTCCATGGCACCTAAGAAGTGCTTCCATCTGTTGCACCAGCCTCACATGAGACTCTGAAGCGTCACCGGCACTTAGCAGAACCTAAGATCTCCTTGACTAATTTAGGAGGTGCTAGCGTACCGACCTCAATAGGGAGGCAGGAGATACAGAAGCACGTCGCAGCACAGGAAGATAACGACTGTTTGGAGAATGACAAGGATTGTGTGGGAGACTGTGAGGGAACTTGTTTCCTGGTGTGTGGGAAACAAAAAGAGAGAAAGGTCAGTAAACCTGAGCAGTTTCCGGCCATGTTTCTTCTCAGTGTCTTCCTGTTGAGACAGCTGGTCCTCCCTCTGTCTCTTCTGTTCCCTGGAGACACAGTGCAAAAAATAACATGTTTGATAAGTTCTCACCTGCATTACCAAGCCAGAGTGACAGACTCCGACTTGGTAATGCATCTAACATTAAGTCAGAAGGACACAAATGTACCTCCTGAGCTTGTTTTCACAATCTCAAGTGTCATTAAGCCAGATACAGCTTCCATCTACTAGTCTCCTGATAACTCCCACTTTTGAATCCTCATGTGGAAGAAGCCTGCCTTAACCATGTATCCTCCCATAGGGATCAGCAGAAGTTCAAGATATCTTCGTGTATATCTGAACTCCTTACATTTAAAAAACTATTAACAGTTGCTAGAAAGAAAATTTTCTCTCTGTTCTTGTTTTGAGACTTTAGGTAATTTCTACTTTTTTACCATTAAAATGTAAATGTTTTAATATTTTGAGATGAAAATAACAGATTTGTCTTCCAGTTACCATCTTCAGAAGGGGCACAGAAAATCATTTCTTAGTTCAAATCAGCGTGCCACATTATCAACACACACAAACAGTGCCACATATGTCCCCCACCCCCCCATAAAAACACACACTCTTTACCCTAACCCTACTAACCCTGTCAGCTTCTCAACCTAATTCCCTCTCTGGCGGCATGATCAGTTAATGTCTGTGTGTGCGCGTGTTTGTTACTGGCTGTCTAGCCCTGTGACCTTGCAGCCGCACGCGATGAGGATACAGTATGAGAGGGCCAGCATGCCTAATCTCACAGGCAGACAGTCTGTTTTCACTTCCAATCTCTCAGATTATTCTGACAACTGTGTTCGGTCTTTTTGGTGCACTGAAGAGGATTCAGTTTAACTGCCAGAACAGCTTATGATTTTCTACATCTGTACTAGAAGTCTAATAATATCCAGCTCATGAAAGGAGATTTTAACAATGATTTTGAGGAAACAAAAATTACCCTTTTTCACAAAAAAGGTAAAGGTTTATTTACAGATCTTTAAAAAACTGAGAAATAGCCCTTTAGTTTAGCACTTACTGCAATTGATTAACCTGACAACCAATAAAAATGGTAAATGACTGATTGGTTTCAGTCAATAACAGTGAATAATTTATAGCCCTAGAGATCAATTACAGTGATGCGTTCAAACACAGCATGCTAATCTTCGTGTCAACCTTAGTTGTATGATTAATATCCTCTAATATTAAATTTCTAGAAATGTTAATGGTGTCGGATGAAAGCATTTGTCCTCTAACCCAAGAGTTGTTGGTTCAATCCCTGGCTCTGGCTTTCAATGTCATTACACTAATTAGCCAACATTTTGGTTAAAGTGACCCATTTGTATTGGTTTGCCCTTTTATGTGAAGTGCACTTCTTATCTTAAAAATACGTATTCCTCTGGCTGACAATCTCGTTTACCTACTCAAGTTAAGGGTAAAAACACTTATTCTAAGAAATGTTTTTTAATTTTTTAGATTGTTTTTGCAGTGAATGGTCCAGAACCCTTCTATCGGACAGGTTATTCTGAATGGGAGCTTCTATAGTGCATTTCAATGTAATTCCTATATTTCTGCTATATAACTGCACAGTTTGATTAAAAAAAAGTCCTAAACTACAATATTGTATGGATGTAAATCAAAAGTTTTATCTTGGTATGTTGTTATATCGGTTTCTTAGGATAAGGATAGGATGACAGGTCTGCGATTGATATGTTGTATTAATATCTGCCCATCAAACACACTGATATCAACCCATAAAAAACAAATAATGTTTGACCGTTTTACTTTTAAGTTCTTAAAGGCATCAGGAATTAAAATAAAAAAGAACATACTTCTAATATAACGGATAACAATTGAAGGTGTACCTTACAGGAGATAATGTGGATCGATCTCTCCATTTTGCATCAACGTAATTGGATTGTTAATCATTTATTCGATGTGGATCAATGTATAGTTACATCCCTAAAACATAAATAATTCAAAGAGATTCACTGATGTGCAACAATCCCAATATCTGTCTATCGTCCATACAAGCTGATCCTTAAGTAACTGTAAAATATCATATTTGCACTATCACTGTGGCTGATTTTTTCTTAATCCCTTTAAATAGAACAAAACTCAATGTTCTAATGCATTTTGTAACATATTTATTTTGCAATGCACTGAACCTTTCCAATGCCTTTTGCACCATGGCTATCAACTGGTTTTCCTTTTCTCCTACACTGTTTACATTCTGATCACTGCCGCACTTTATAAATTGAAATGTTCATTTCACTTTTGTAAGCTGCTCATTCGCTGTTAAAAAGCTGCCTGCATCGAAATTTAATTTTATATACTCTGTAAAAAAGATGACAATAAAGTTTCTCTAAGTCTGAGTAATTATCAAAACCCAAACAAATTTCAAATCACTTCTATACCAGCCACTTTTTGAAATGCTAGATGATAAAATGTAATTGGAAGAAAGAAAAGTTTATCTGTATTTTCTATGTTTACTACTAATTGAAGCAAAAAAGAAAGGCTAAATATGATCTTTTATAATTAATAGGTTCTGAAAACATACAAATCTGGAACTTTGTCTATCATTACCCTCCTAATGAGTTTTAATCTGGTTATACACATAGCCAATACCTAATCAAAGTTTTTTTTAAATTATTGACTTTGATGATTTTCAGAGATTTCAAAATTTATAACCACTCTAATTTCTAATCGCATGCTCTCTTTGGAGGACAAGAGCACCACTAAGGTTTTTAATGTACAGCCAGGGGCAAACATTGGGAAAAGACAGTAGAACTACTTCTGGTATGCAGCTGGTATAGTGTGCACACTAACACATTAAAACCGAAGAGAATAAAATTTTAGACCTCATAAATGATTTGGGATCAGTAAATATAAAAATCAGCAGCTTCCAAATGTTTGTCCAGGAGTGAAAACATTATGTGTTAACTCCAACAGGTTCGGGATGAGTTCTTACAGCTTGACAACACATAACTTTAGAGTTACAGAGCGCCAACAGAATGCACACCCGCAGCATTCAGCTGGCTTTACAGACTATCTCCAGCTGTTGTTGATGATGGACGCTGAAAAGAGTCAAACATTAATCATTATTCATCTTGGTGTAGTCTTGGCAACATACTTGTTTTTAGTGTAAATAGATGTGTCAATCAGTCAAAAATGCACAGTAAAAGTAAAACAGACGCGGACGTGCTTCCGCTGATTCTGAAGGGGGAAAAACTCAGATGACAGTGTTGTTAAAACCTGCAGCGGGTCCCACATTCTATTTTAGGACGTGGTTTAAAAAAAGTACAAAAAAAAAAATATGAAGGAAAACAAACAAAAGTTCTCCCCAAAATATAGTTTCTTTGAGTTTTTTCGTGTTTACAGTATGATAGATGAAGAGAACGAAGACAGATTTGATTTTCTTTGAATCCAGGAGAAAAAAGGGGCTAAAAAAAGAATTCCTTTTCTCTGAGGGGCTCTGATTGATTAAATCTAAGGGAGATAAACAGGCATGAAGGAAAGAAAAAAAGTAGGTTCCCCTTTGTGTGTGTGTGTGTGTCAGGCAGAAAAGATAAGGTGGAGAAAAGGCCCTCAGATACACCCTGAGATCAATAGGTAAATAACTGCAAATGGAGACACACTTACACTTGGTCATATACATGTGCGCAAACACACACCCACACAGAGAGCAGTCAGCTTATGAAAACAAGCCATTTCACATCAATCACATCTATCCTTTGCTCTTTCTCTCTTGACCTTCAATCATTCCACCATGCACTCTTTCATCCATCCTCCCTTGTTCAGTGCATCTATCCTTTCTTTCATCTATTCCTCTTTTGCCTCTAATCCGTCCTTTAAACTGGGCCTACGTCTGCCATGTGCTCATCCAGTGATGAAGGGATCAGCTCAGTGATTCCTGCCAATCAGAGCACAGCAGGAACTGTCCTATCATTATTAACACACATGTCACCCAGACGTTACCAGGAAAGGGGGGGGGGGGGGGGGGGGTTAGAGAAGCTCCACTCCACTGGGACTCTGCTATCAAGGTGTCCCCAGGGAAGATCATGATCGAGGTAGATTTAGTTACTTATAGTCTCAAACACTCTGGTAGCTACACCTGATTTTTTCCAAGTATTAAAGGAAATTTGATGAAAAACATAACTCACCAGAGTCTGGAAGAGTGTGTAAGTCATTGTGTGTGAATAGTCTGCCCTTTCAACTCCCCTAGGCAGCATGTTGGGATCAGAGAAATTCCTCAGCCGTGTTCTGTTCTTGCCACACCGGAAATGTGCGTGTGTGTTTCCAAAGCAAGGGACTGGCAGCACGAAAACACAACAGGTGTTGAACAGGGATGGCCAAAGGAGGTTGGTGGGTTAATGTTTGGAAAGCTGCCATAGCAACGTTTCTTGCAAAGTGACACATTTCTTTGTTCATGAACGTGAAACCAAAGAATCCAAGGTTTGGAAAGTTATCTCACCGATATTATGCACAATGAGGTTGAAAAGAAACAGAATACACACGTACACATGCAGATACAAAACATATCAGTGCTCTTGGTTTAAATATGACTGACTGAATCTTGTTAAACTTGACACTTTGTTTTATATGTTTTTTATATGTTACCAAAAAAGTGTTCCTGCTGCTTGACAACAGGTGACATGACTGCAAGGAAGCTGCAGCAGCCATTACAGTCCAACTGTATGTAGACTAACCAGGAAGTTAGGTTTAGTAGTTAAAACAAAATTATCCACTGAACCAACCTTAATAGCGAAATGGAATTTATAATACAATATCTATAATAAAATACTATCATGGCTCAGGAAAGCAGCCATAGTGCGAGACGGATCTCTGTGAGAAGCAGAATGGAGAGATACAGAAGGTCTTTTGTCTTGACCACCATTAGACAGTTTAATGCCGCTTAACTTTGTGTTTTTTATTCTATTCTATATGTTTCTTTCTTTGCTATCGGGCAGGTGAATTCCCCTTATCAGGGATTAATAAACTAACTAACTAACTAACTGTCTGTCTGTCTGTCTG